GCATGGAATCACAAAATACATCAAACAGTTAAAGTATTTTTCAGTATATCACACTAGCAGATTTCAAAAAATATATTACAAAGTTATAGTCATCAAGATAGCATAATACTGACATTAAAACAGTTGCATAGACAAATGGAAAAGAAAAAATATTTACATATTTATAGCCAACAGATTTTTGACAAAGCCGCTAAGAACACTCATTGAGGAAAAGGCATTCTCTTCAACAAATTGTGCTCAGAAAATTAGATGTCTATATGAAGACCAGAACTAGACCCCTATCTCTTGCCATATGAAACAAGTTCAAATAAATTAGAGAGTTAAATCTAAGGTAATAACTATTAAAGTATTAGAAGAAAACCTAGAGAAAATGCTCAAGAACATTGGTCTGAGAAAAGATTGCTAGAGTAAGACCTCAAAAGCACAAGTAATCAAAACAAATATGGACAAATGGAATCACACCAAGTTAAAAAGCATCTGTACAGCAAACAAAGAAGTTACAATAACAAAAACCCACAAAGTGAATAGACAGCATACACAATGGGAAAAGATATTTGAAAACTACCCATCTGGTAAGAAATTTATAATCAGAATATATATTCAAACAATTCAATAGCAAAAAAACAAATTAATCTGGCGGGACTCAGTGGCTCATGTCAGTAATCCCAGTGGTTTGGGAGGCCGAGGTGGGAGGATTGCTTGAGCCTAGGAGTTTAAGATCAGCCTGGGAAACATAGTGAGATTTCCTCTCTACAAAAAAATTAAAAAATGTAGCCAAACTTGGTGGTGCACGCTGTAGTCTCAGCTATTTGGGAGGCTGAGGCAGAAGGATTGCCTGAGCACGAGAGGTCAAGTCTTTAGTGAGTCGTGATCATGCCACTGCACTCTAGCCTGGATGACAGACTGAGACTCTGAATGAATGAATGAATGAATGAATAAATAAATATAAATACCCTCATTAAAAATGGGCAAAAGATCTGAACAGATATTTCTCAAAAGAAGACATACAAATGGTTAACAGGTATATAAAAAATGCTGAATATCATTAGAGAAATGCAAATCCAAACTACAAGAGAGTATCTTATGTAAGTTTCAAAAAGGTAATACTTGATGTTGGCAAAGATGTGGAGAAAGAGGAACCCTCATATATGTTGGTAGGAAAGTAAGTTAGAACAGCCTCTATGGAGAACAGCATGGAGGTTCCTCAAGAAACTAAAAATAAAATTACCATATAATCCCCAAATGAAGGAAATCAGTATATCAAAGGGCTATCAGAACCCTCATGTTTATTGCAGAGCTAGTCGCAATAGCCAAAATATGAAATTAACCTAAGTGTCCATTTTGTTTTTAAATTGACACATATAGTTGTATATATTTATATGATAACATACTGATATTTCTATACATACATTATGTAGTAATCAAATCAGGTAATAAGCATATCCTAAACCTCAAATGTTTATCATTTCTTTGTGTTGGAAACATTCAGAATTTTTTCTTCTAGCTACTTATAAACATATGAAAATTATTGTGAACTGTAGTTATTCTATTGTGCTGTAGAACACTAAAAATTATTCCCTCAGTCTAACTGTAATTTTGTATCCTTTGACCAATTTCTCCTACTCCCCTTCCCCTCTGCTCTTCCCAAATTCTGGTAACCATCATTCTTCTCTACGTATGTGAGATCAATTTTTTCAGCTTCCACATGTTAGTGAGAATATGTGATATTTTCTGTGCCTGGTTTATTTCACTTAATATAATGGTTTCCTGTTTCATGCAAGTTGTTTCAAATGACAGGATTCTGTTCTTTTCAATGGCTGAATGACATTTCATTGTGTATATACGTCACTTTTTTCCCATTCATCTATTTATGGACACTAAGGTCGATTTTATATCCTGACTATTGTGAACAGTGCTGCAATAAACATGGGAGTGCAGATATCTCTTCTATATACTAATTTCCTTTTTAAAAAAATATATGCACAGTGGTGGGATTGTTAGATCACATGATGGCTATATGTGTAGTTTTTTTCAGGCCTCCATACTGTTCTCCAAAATTGCTGTACTAATTTACAGTCCTATCAGCAGAGTACAAGTGTTCTTTCTCCACATCCTCACTTTGTTATTTTTTCTCCCCCCCCCCCACCTCTCTCTCTCACTCTTTCTTTTGAGTCAATGTCTCACTCTCTTGCCCAGACTGGAGTGCAGTGGCATGGCCACAACTCATCACAACCTCCAGCTTCTGGGCGCAAATGATCCTTTGGTGTCAGCCTCCCAAATACCTTGGACTACAGGCATGCACCACAACACCTGGGTGAATTTTTTTATTTTTTTTTTGGTAGAGATGAGGTCGCTATGTTGCTCAGGCTCGTCTCAAACTCTTGGGCTCAAGTGATCCTCCCATCTTTGCCTTCAAAAATGCTGGGATTACATCCCACCTGACTGCTTTTTGATAGTAGCCATTCTAACTGGGATGAAATGATATTTCATTGTGGTTATGATTTGCACTTCCCTGATGATCAGTGATATTGAACATTTTTTCAAACATTTGTTGGTTATTTGTATATTTTCATTTGAGAAATGTCTATTCAAATCATTTGCCCATTTTAATTGAATTGTTATTAATATTTTTGCTGTTTTTTAGAGTTCCTCATATATTCTGAATAGTAATCTTTTGTCAGATGAATAGTTTGCAAATATTTTCTTCCATTCTGGAAGTTGTAGGTTTTACTCTGTTAATTGTTTCTTTTGCTGTGCAGAAGCTTTTTAGTTTAATAAAATCCCATTTGTCTCTTTGCTTGTGTTCTATAGGTCTTATAAAATCTTTTTCTAGACCAATACCTTGAAGCATTTTTTTTCTACATTTTCTTCTAGTAGTGTTGTAGTTTCTGGTATTACATTTAAGTTTTTTAACCATTTTGAGTGGCTTTTTTTTGTATAAGGTTAGAGTTAGGGATGTAGTTTCATTCTTCTGAAGATATTCGGTTCTTTCAGTATCATTTTATGAAAACAAAACAAAACAAAACTATTCTTTACCCACTAAGTGTTCTTGGCACCTTTGCCAAAAGCCAATTGATTGTAGATACATGAAGTAATTTCTGGGTCCTCTATTCTGTTCCATTGGTCTATGTGTCTGTTTTTATGGCAGTATCATGCTATTTTGACTACTACAGTTTTGTCATATATACAGCTTTGTCATATAATTTAAAGTCAAGCAGTATGATGCTTCCAGCTTTGTTTTTTTGCTTAGTCTCTCGCTGTTTGGTGTCTTTTGTGGTTCCAGACAAATTTTAGAATTGTTTTCCTATTTCTGTAAAGAATGCTATTATTATTTTGACAGAGATTATAGTGTATCTGCAGATTGCTTTGGGTAATATGGTCATTTTAACAATATTAATTTTTCTAATCCATGAGCATGGAATGGTTTTCCAATTTTTATGCTTTTCAATTACTTTCATTAGTGTTTTATAGTTTCTCCTTCTGGAGATCTTTCACGTCATTGGTTAAATTTATTCCTAGGTATTTTTTAAGCTATTGTAAATGTGATTGCCTTCTTTATTTCTGTTTTAGCTAGTTCGTTCTTTGTGTTACGTTCTTTGTGTATACAATAATTGTATACATTAATTTTCTCTCCTGCATCTTTTCTGGATTCATTGATCAGTTCTAAGAGGGTTTTTTGGTGGTCTTCAGGTTCTTCTACACGTAAGATCATGTCGTCTGCAAACAAGGACAATTTGACTCCTTAACTTTCAATTTGGATGTCCTTTATTTCTCTCTCTCTTATTTCTACTTGTTCTGTCTAGGACTTCAGTATTATGTTGAATAAGAGTGACGGGCTTGAGTATCCTTGTCTTGTCCCAGATCATAGATGAAAGGCTATAGTTAGTCCCAATTCGGTATGTTACTAGTGATGAATTTGACTAATATGGCTTTTACTGTGTTGTTATGGGGAATGTCTACCACTCTGAGTGGGTCCTCAGCACATTTTCCTGCGGTAAAATATTTGCATTTGGTGGTTGGATACTATCTTGGCGTTAGTGTACAATATAACTCTCCTAGATTACTAGAAACTAAAGAGCTTGGAAGGATTAGGCTGGTGATCGAAATACTGCATGTGACATTGTTTCTAGTGAAAATATGTTTGGATTCAAAAACAAAAACAAAATACTTTGAAGCAAATTTTGAAAATCTGTGTGTAGCATGAATAGTCTGTTATATGAGCTATTCATCTGGTTAGAAAGACTGGCTTCTTATAAGGAAAGCAATGAATTATATTTGATTTTAATGAACTATGAATAGTTAAACTAACTACCAGATGCTGAGGGTATGTGTGTAGGTATACTTGAAATATTTTGCTTTGTAATTTTATACCTTTTAGGATATAGTAGAAAACGAGCCATCAGTTCAGGTGAACAAGAAAATGATACTAATTTATAATTGGACAACTCTTGGCATACATTTAGATATAGGTATATTTATATTTATATATAGGTATATTTATATTTAAGTGTGCATATCTATGTAAATATAATGAATAGTTTACCATTTCACTGAATATTTATTTGGCATCTCCTTTTTGAGATAAGAATTATTCTAGATGTTAGCATTACAATAATATATAAAATAGACATGGTCCTTACTTTTACAGATTTCATAGCTTAATATGACAGTCAAATAATATAGTGCTATAAGTGATAAAAATAACCACATGACCCAAAATGGTTGGAAATCGCCAAATCTTCAAAATCGTATATATCCAAGGATCATAATGGTAGGTTAGAGTTGACAGCTGTACAATGTAAAAGAAGTAAGTTATTACTACTTACTATGTTTCATTTTTCAGCTCATTACTTTCATGACTGATGGGAAGGTAAAAATGAAAATCGTGAACTTATATATTTGATATAACTATTATAAATCTTGAATTCTTAATGAACCTAACTAGTTATCAATAAAAAGTTTGAAAATCTCTTAAAAGCGAGTTGAGAAGAATTACTTACCCTAGTCCCAGCAGCTGACACACATCATTTGAAATCTGAGTGGTCCAATTCTCAGCACAAGCCGTATGCCATATGCTCTGAATTCTGAACTGTACCAAACCATTGCTGTTCATAGTGCCATTGAAAAGACGCACTAAAGATACAGAGGAGAGAATGGTGGTTACCAGATGCTGAATGGTGAGGGGAATGGGGACATGTTGGCCAAAGGGTAAAAAGCTTCAGTTAGTCAGGAGGAAGACGTTTTTTGAGATCTATTGCACAGCATTGTGACTATAGTTAATTATGTATTTGTATATTTCAAAATTTATTTCCACAAAAAAAGATAAGTATTTGAGGTGATGGATAGGTTCATTAGCTTGATTTAGTCAGTCCACTATATATATATATATATACATATATATATGCATATATATATATACTTATATATCACATATATAGTGATGTTGTAATATATATTATGATATATAACATATGTTATGATATATATGATACATAAATAACATCATTTTGCACCCCATACATATACACAAGGTTAATTTAATTTACACATAAGATTTTTAAAAAAGTAACAAAAATGAGATGCGTTAAAGATACAAGCTTTCACACAGAGCCATTTTTATCCAAGTTGATCAGAGTAAATTTTGGCCTCAAAACTAAATGTGCAATGTTGTTAACATTTAGAGTTTAAGAATTGATTGTAGTCTTTCTTAAGAGTATGTTGGCAAGCCTAAGATGAAAAAACTAAATGAAAGATTTAATTTTGCCCTTTCATATAGCTATAAACATGGAAAAGGCAAAGATGTGCAAGTTCATTGCATATGAAAGCAACTAATCAACAAAAAATAAAGTTATTGGTGAAGAAGCTATCTTATAAACAGTCTCTAAAAGTAGAAAACTCAAGGTCAGAGACAAGTTTAGGTATCCCCCTCATTTTCTTCTCCAGAAACTATTTTCTTTGTACTTGCTCTTATACTGTTTGAATTCTATCATCATTTAATGATATTTTGGATAGACTATTAAAGCAACTAATGACTAGTTAGGAACTGGACCAATATAAGCTAGTTTGTTAAGGAAAATGTCAGCAGTAGTAGTCTAACTTATAAATATCATTATAATTCTATAAAATAATTTTACTGTTTTCTTTGTTATTATAATAAGAGATAAGAGCATTGACTTTACAATTAGATATACTTAGGTTGAAAACACAGCTCTGGCCCTTACTAGATGTGTGATGTTTGAGATACGCTTAACTTCTAAGTCTTAGTTTCCTAATGGTTAAAATAGAGCTAATTCTTTTTTTTATCTTTTATTTATTTATTTATTTATGTGAGACAGAGTCTCATTCTGTCACCCAGTCTGGAGTTCAGTGCCAGGCAATCCTTTCACCTCAGCCTCCTGAGTAAAGCTGGGACTACAGGTGTGTACCACCATGCCTGACTAATTTTCTTGATTTTTAAAAAATTCTTTTTTAGAGACAGGGACTCACTATGTTACCTAGGCTGGTCTCGGATTCCTGGCCTCAAGTGATCCTTCTACCTCGGTCTCCCAAAGTGCTATAATTTCAAGTGTAAGTCACCTTGCTTGGTCTCTACTTCTTATTATAGATTTTTTTTACAGCATTTAGTTACAGTGCATGGCACACATTATGTAAGTATGAAATGTTTACTTAGAAATAAAAGCAAGACATAGTACAAGATGTCTGTTACTCATAATGTTATAGATGTCTGAAAAGGAGTCTGGACTGAAAACTCAGCAGGAAAAGGAAGAAAGTCAATTATACATAATCATGCAGGTGCTTCTGAACATTGACAATCAACAGAATATTACCAGCAATATATTTGGTGATAGAGTGCCTGCTTTGGACTATTGTCTTTGTGGCAGTTTACTAGCTTTCTTTTTGAATATTGGTTGTGCTAGACTTATAGTTATTAAATAGAACTAAATTTAAACAAACAAAAAACTGAGGCCTGAATGTTAACTTTTCTCATAACCACATAGGGACAGTGGTGTTATTATAAAATCACTGGAAAGTGTTTATACCCAAAGCATTGAACCGTGTCCTGATAAACACACTCATAATCGTCCTTTCACATTTGTAAGATCCAAATGTCGAGGCGAAAGTCATAAGGGTATTTTCTAAAAATAAGACATACCGCAGTGTGCTTCATCTGAGCCATCTGAACACTGTGCATGACTATCACAGAGATTCGCCCGTGGAACACATTCTCCGTTTTCACACTGAAAATGGTCTTCAGTACAGGGCTCTATGGGGAAACAATGTTTTTTGTACAGGATAAGAAATTACAAACAGATGATTCTGGAGTACAATTCCCACTTTTCCCCCTTTAGGGAGCCAGCTTTGATGTTGATTAACACCATACACTTAGTTGCTCAGAATGTCTGGAAATAGCATCAAAAGCCAACGTGAGACTTTAAAGGTGTGTGGATGAAATCTTAAACATCTCCTTTGCAGGGGAGTTCACACAGTTCCAAGAGACGGCTGAGAGATTTTGGACACACCTCTCTTTAGTAATCCTATCAGTATCTCCTAAATAAACTTCACCACAAATGAAAATACAAGCAACAACCACTGAGATGTTGCTGAAGCATAGAGCTGACTTCTGACCTCGCCTTCCAAAGGATACATCCAAACTTTTGTAATAAAATGTGGAAGTTGTCTTTTTGTGGAACCAAAGTTGGACTTGGAAACAGAGGGCTCAATTAAAGCTTGGTCAGGCAGAAAAGGCTAGACACAAAGAAATAAAAACTTTGCAATAGTAGTAATGTGAAAGGAAGTTGGGATGGAGTTCCAAATCCGTAAATCAGTGTGGAGAGCATGAAACTTTGCATAGCATGTGGAGAGACAAAAGGAAAATGAAAAAGCTGGCCAAGGAAGACATTGGGTAGATGTGGAGACTTTTGGTTGTTGTATTTAGAGTTGAGTCGAGCAAAAGAAAGTCAACTGGAAACACTCATTATTTAGAGAAAGGAGGTGATGCTGTTTCCTGGAACTGCTTGATGTTTTAAAGTTTTGCCCTGCAAAAACATGCTTATCATTGGGAGAGGGTTTGCATCCCTCAAGGTGCTTTCTAGTTATGGCTCAGGAGGTACAGCTATGTGTTGGGAGGATGTCAGGAACGCTGTTGAGAGCCACATGGGATTTGAATTCCTTGACAATGGAGTTGGCAGTTGGATGTGGACAGGCTCATGTCTTCTCTCTTACATGACACATGGACAATCATACAGGGAAGTAAAAAAACACTTGACAAAAATAAGAACCAGGGAAAGTTGTATTTTGAAAACTATTAGTGAATGTTAATCAATATAATAGCTATAACATTGCTTTCCAGGAGATACAATTAAAGTTAAAATGATTTCAAAAACCAATTCTAAAAACATCTGTGAAGAATTTCTCAATTTATGATGACCAAACATAATGCTACATGAAAGGGATAATTTCTGTTGTTTTAGAACCTAAATTGTGGGCCCAGAACGAAGGATATTGATAAATACCGTTATACGCTAAAGGGAGGCACTAAGCCATACTACGCTTACCAAAAAATTTCAGAAGTGGTCCAGTGACTATAAATACTCATCCCCTATTTTCAGTTTTTAAAAAAAGTCATTAAAGTTTTTTTCCCCCACAAAAAAAGACAAGTGTTTTTGAGGGGGAGTGTTTTCATGTGGGAAAGGGATGGATGATGTTATTCAACAAACCAAGTGTACGGTACCCTAAGAAGACAAAATTACATTGGGTTGCCTGAAAGAAGCAAAGTCGGCATCCTACTCCCCAGTTGAAAGTTTACTACACTGCAGAATCACAAAGGCCGGTGCTTCCATGGGATTAGTGCAGGGTCTCCCAGATTTTTTAAAACTCTGACTTTATAATAAAATAGATTTTAAATCATAAGTCACCAATCAATTACCAATGTGTGGGTGTGTGTGACTAAATTAAATTTTACCCTCCTATTCTATTCTATTCTACTCTATCTTATCCTATCCTATCCTATCCTATCCTATCCTATCCTATCCTCCCACTCTATTGCATCCCATAACAAGGAATTCAGGTCAAAACTCAATAAATTGATTTCACTATCCACTTTTTGAAAAATACCATAATAAACCAAAGCATAGTGAAAAATTTTATGGGAGATGGTAACTTTATTTTCCTAAAGTTTGTGGGAAGACAGTTGCGTAAGTAAAGATTAGTGATTGATTCTTATAACATGATTTCAGAAGTCAGAAAGTTGATCATGTGGACACTGGGAAAGATGACTGGGTGCCAACTGCCTGTCAGGGAAACCTGCTCCAGCACAAAGAAGTGGAGGGGTGGAATCTGGGGATTAGGAATTAGAAATGGAGTAGGATTATCCAAGATCATTTAGGAAGTGTAATACTCATTCCTGCAGTGCGATCATCTGGGGCAAGACGGGGAATGCTCCAAACAGTCTGCATCCTCATGCTACAACAGAGCCAGCTTTCGGCCAGAGGCCAGTGCTCACTAAATGAAAACAACAGGCGTGACAAATATTACTTGTCTTCCAGTGTTGGAGCTATGGGAAAATGGAAGGGAAAGCAAGTAGAAAATAAAAGTCAATATTTCTACCTTTCTCTACCTTTGAGCTGGAGGATAGAAGTTTTGAATTAGACGATATGAAAGTGTTGATGCTATACTGGATTGTTTGTTTTATTACTTAAAGCTGAGTCTTAGTTACCTAGTTAAAATAATTTGACGATCAAAGTAACTGGAAAAGAAAAGATATTTGTGTAAAAAAAAATATTCAGGTGTAAAAAGAAAGATTTGAAATGAAGTAGGAGAGTATACACAGTTGAATATATACTCTACTAGCTGTAATAACATATAATGTCATATAATTTCATCTTTGTATTCCTGGCACAAAGCAGGGAATAAGGAATTTTTAAAAATGAAGTAAATTAATGCATGTGAAATAGTTGATATGCCTAAAATATCAGCCTGAATTCTAGTAATAAACATAATACAAAAACACTTTTTAAAAGTATGATTTTAAAAAATAGATTTTTAAATTTAAGGCTGTTGGATGATGATAATTCTAGTGATTTGAAAAAGAGAGATTGATTTCATAAGTTACAAAGATAAAATTTACTTATTTAACGTTGAATAGTGGTTAAGATATAAGCTCTGGAGTCATATGACTTTGGTTTGAGTTGCAATTCAGCCATTTCTTTTGTTATTTTTTGACCTTGGTCAAATAAATTAATTCTTTTGAGACTTAATTTTCTTGACTGTCAAATAGGAGTAAATACTGCTTTGGTCTTAGGTCTTTCACGGGTATAAATTTTTAAAAATAATAAAGTGTATTGCGCATACCAACAAACATGCATACAGAAAAGGTTCAACAGTTAAAATTCTTAACAGCAAAAATAGTAATAATTAAAAGTCACCATTTTCAATTATATTTCTAAGTTAATATTGTTACTCCATGTGCTAGTTGTGCTTTCTCTTCCAGATAACCAAATAAACAAAAACAAAACAAAAACCTAATTCTTTCGTCTTCATATTTTACAACAATAATTGAAGCCATTTGTATAATCTAGTTTAAACTTTGAAACATTTTATATTTTTCCAACCAAATCTAAATTACCTTAATAAAAAAATATTTTTAGAAAGCCATGGCTGGTTGGGTTGTTTCTACAAACCTTATTACCATGGGAAAAGTAGGTTGTGTATCTTAAAATATAACAGTATTAAGGAATGTCTTGTAAATGTAATTATCAATCTGTTTCACAAACATAATTTTTAACCAGATTAGTGAGATAATGAATGAGCAAAGACAATTACAGATTCTACAGGCAAGCATTAATATTTTAATTGACTATATTTATTTTCTTTCTAGCATTATTTTCCTTAACAAGCAGGAAACTTTGAAAGTAGGCAAATATGTGTTTGTATTTACATATGATTATTTTAAAAATATATATATTTTAGTATATTTTGTATTTATTTTAAAAGTTGATAGCACCTGCCCCATGTCCATGGCCAAATATTTTAATATACTTATATAATGTTAGTCACTACTAGCTTTTTTAAATTATATATTTCATTACTTTTTTATAGCTTATGCAATCATTATGTAAAAATGAGTTCCCAATGATAATAATTTAATCATTAATAAATTTATTGATATGTTTATTCTTTATCTAATGAAGTCAGGCTATATTTAATGGAAAAATAACACATTAATTTAATGGAAATAAATGTAATTATCTGAAATAAAAAATTGAATGAAAGCATGCATAACTATTTGAAACTTACAATCCATTTTTGGGTCTACTCAGATCTATTAGGGTTTTTCCTATGAATTTAGAAAAGAAGAAACTTGTTTCCGAAAGCAGAATGAATTGGACAAAAAATACTGAATGGCAAATTGATCTATTGTTACTGAACTCAATAGAACTTATCAAACTCAGAAGAGGTGTAAATAAGCTCTTCAAAATTTTCCTTACGTTTGTAAGCGAGATTCTGACTCTTTGCAAGGTACAGTAGTTCAGCTTCATTAAGAAGTCTTTAATCCAACAGTTTAACTCTCTCTGGACTCTGAAATCTTATTTCTGATAGTTTTACACCCATGGTGAAAAAGGGAAAAAGAAATATAGCTAAGAATTGAATTTCCCCATCTCTTTTTATGAAGTCTCCAGTATCCCTGCCTCATTTAGTCAACATATGCTTGGTTTAAAATGGAACTAAATTGATCTCTAAGGCACAAGCCACACGACCCCGGGAGGGCTCCAAACCCCTAAATATAATCAGTTGCAAGACAAGTGCTATTGATTCCATGGTAAGACTCTGAGTTTCAGAAAAGAGCAATGAGGGGACATTTACAATTTACAGGTGAGAGATCTATAAATATAGATCTATAAATATTTATAGAGATCTATAAATATAGAGTATAATACATATACTCTAGTTCAATGGAAATGAAAATGCTAAAAATAGAGCAAAGGAAAGAAGATACAAAAAGATGTTACACAATCGTGTTACATTTCATTACTAAGTATCACTAAAATATCTCATAAGGTAAGTGAAACACATAAATACCAAAAACAATTTTTGATGCCTCTTTTATACCATTTTCTAAAATGATCACCAAAGCAGAACACCAATGTAAATAGATATGTGTGCCCAATCTCTCTTTCCCTTACCAGCTTGATTATCTTACTACCAAGTCCCTGTTTCTATAATTGCTTTCAGTCTTTTGGTGTAAACAATCTTAATGGAAACACACTGTGCTGATGACAGCTCAATCGCCTCATTTCCACTTCCCAGCAGCATCTGTGTCACGTCCAGGAGGAATGTGAAGCCAGCACATTCACCGTGAAGTGATGGTCACGGAAGACTCCATGCTAGATCCAATTAGGTACATTTTCTCTTAAAGATAATTTCATAAATAGCATAACAGTAACAACTGAAATATAGCTATAGGATGAACAAATAAGGAACTCCTACACCATAAACTTGGTATCTTGTTTGTGTTGAGAGCAATCAATTACACTCTTTGGGGTTTTATCTTGAATAAAAATTGCTGTCCTATTTTTCAAAATCCTTGATGCTGTATTTGTTGCCTTGTAAGAAAATGAGACAGACAATAACAGATGCTGGAGAAATTGCTAAGAAAGGAGAGTGCTCATACATTGTTGGTGGGAATATAAAATAGTATAACCAGTAGAAAAAGCAGTATGGAGACTTCTAAACAAAATCTAAAAATGAAATGTAACTACCATATGATCCAGCAGTTCTTCTGCTGTTTACATACACAAAGGACAAAAAAATCAGTATACGGAAGCAATATTTGCACGTTCATGCTTATTGTAGCACTATTCACAATAGCCAAGATATGGAGTCACCCCAAGTCTCCATCAATGGATGAATGAATAAAGAGAATGTGGCATATTTACACAATAGAGTATTATTTAGCTTTACAAAAAAATGAAATCCTATCATTTTCTTTTTTCTTTTTTTTTTTTTTTTCTGAGTTGGAGTCTCACTCTGTCACCCAGACTGGAGTGCAGTGGCCGCTCCTAGCCACCGCAGCCTCGACCTGCTGGACTCTGGCATCCTTCCGCCTCAGCCTTCCAAGTAGCCGGAATTACAGGCGCGCGCTACCATGCCCAGCTGATTTTTTGATTTATTGTGGAGATGAGGTCTCGCTGCCCAGGCGGGTCTCAAACCCACGGGCTCAGGCAATCCACTCATCTCAGCCTTCCAAAGGCGTGGGATTACAGGCTGAGCCACCGAGCCAGACTTAATCCTGTCATTTTCAGCAGCATGATTGGGACTGGAAAATATTATGTTAAGTGAAGTAAGGCAGGCACAAAAAGACAATTTTTGCATGTTCTCACTCATATGTGGGAGCCAAAAAAATGGATCTTACTGAGATATTGATTAGAAAGATGGTTACCAGAGACTAGAAAGGGTACTAGGGAGCAGGATATGAAGAAGGCAGTTGATGGGCACAAAAATACAGTTAGATAGAAGGAATAAGATCTTTATGTTTGGTAGCACAATAAGGTGATTGCAGTTAACAATCATATATTGAATATTCCAAAATAACTAGAAGAGAATATTTGGAACTTTTCCAATACAAAGAAATAATGAATGTTTGAGGTGATGGATATATTAATTTTCTAGATTTGATGATGATTGTATGCTTGTATCAAAATATTACATGTATCCTATAAATATGTACAACTATTATTAATCTACAAGAACTTTTTTAAAAAACACTTTAACTTTTGATGAAAGAGATTTGTCTGTGTCCTTTTCAACAACGATTTTCCTCATTCCCTGTGGTTCCTCCCTTCTCTTTTGCAATTTAAAATATCAGTTTAAAGCCTTACAATTTCTTACTGGTTAGAACATAGCTTTTTTACAATCATCTCAATTACCTAAATTGGTATTCATCTCCATTTCTTTTAAAGCATAATATCTCTTACAAAATTTATTGCCATGAGATAATTCTCAGAAAAAATTTGAGGGCATCCAGTAGAGTAGATATTAGGTATTAGCTTTCTTCAGTTTATGATATGTTGTAGAAGTGAACACATAAGTGGGCTCAGTGGCTCAACCTGTAATCCCAGTGCTTTGGGAGGCTGAGGTGAGTGGATTGCCTGAGCCCCCGGCTTCGAGACCCGCTTGGGCAACTTGGCAAGACCTCATCTCTACAATAAATCAAAAATTAGCCGGGCGTGGTAGCACGTGCCTGTAGTTCCAGCTACTTGGAAGGCTGAGGTGGAAGGATAGCCCAGCCCAGCAGGTTGAGGCTGTGGTGGCCGGGAGTGGCCACTACACTCCAGTCTGGGTGACAGAGTGAAACTTCAACTCAAAAAAAAAAAAAAGTGAACACATAATTCTACCACATTTAAATACAGAAGTTATTGACATCTATACATATTTTTATTGCAGCATTTTCTCCTGAAAAACTTAAAAATATCACTTCACCCTTTTTAATATTCATCACTAAAAGAGGGAAATATAAAGCTGATTTTATTTTTACACATTTAAAAATAATTACATTTATTTTGCTTTGAAATTCACTAAAAAGTTTTCCACTTGAAATTTAATATTTTACGCAGGAAATGTTATAACACCAATTCCTGCTTATTAATTTTTTGCAGAACATAATAAGACTTTATAATTTTAAGAAAGTTTACTCCAACCCATAAAGTATATAATATTTCCCCCATTGCATCTCTCACTGTGAGTTTTGATGTTTGTTTGATTGCTTTTTTTCCCTTTTGGAATGTCTGTTGTTTACGAATTGTGGTTTGCTGCAAATTTTACAGAGACTCATATTTTTCCATCTCTTTGTTTATGCATTCTGTATTATGGTTTTCTGCAGCAATCTTTGTGGGAATGTAGATGTTCTGACACCTGAATTTTGGAATAGTTTTGCAACTGACCAGAAACTATTTTGTTCACGCTATTAACAAAAATCTTAATCAAATCAGAGAGAATAATCTGCTTATGGCAAAGTTTCATAGGAAATTACTGTGGCCAAAGATGGCCATCGCTTTCCAGACTTTCTGAGAGGAAACTGTATTGTCACTCCTGGGAGCTAGTGCTGAACAAGGACTGTTCTATCAAGAGCTAAAATTCCATATTGACTTAAAGAATTAGAGTCATAATTTTAAATACAAAAAGAATAGTAAAACAATTCTGTATTTTTTCTGTTACCCAAAGTTTGTTATTACTAATTTACTTTCTGCATAATAACAAGAACCTATTAGGTTTTATTAAACAATGCACATCCAAAGTCTGTTTTATCTTAAATGTTCAACATTAACTATCAAAATACCCTCTTCTATATCCATCACTTATCTTCATTTAAAAGTATCATCAGAAAACCAAATGATTAACATAAGTAAAATAAAATGTTGGATTATATTAAATTTAAAATAATAGGCACATCACAAAGAGAAATAAGTTGAAATAGATAAAACATTGGCAGGCAAACACGGTAATCATTGCACAATCAGCAGCAACAAAATTATCAAGAGACAGAATCAGTGACTCAATTCAAAAAGACGTTTTCAAAATTATCTTGATTAATATTTTTCAAAGTAATAATTTAATTATCTTCTAAGTTTAATAAGTTTAATTCAGTCTATACAAGTTTGTGCATATACATAACAATTGAATTCTCATTTCAGTGCAATTTCTTCTTTACTACTACCTAGTAAAATCATGTCATTTTCTTTTCTTTCTTTCTTTTTTTTTTTGAGTTGGAGTCTCACTCAGTTGTCCAGACTGGAGTGCAGTGGCACACTCCCGGCCACTGCAGCCTCGACCTGCTGGACTCCAGCGATCCTTCCACCTCAGCCTTCCAAGTAACTGCAACTACAGGCACTCGCTACCACACTCGGCTAATTTTTGATTTATTGTAGAAACAAGGTCCCATCGAGTTGCCCGGGTTGGTCTTGAACCTGCGGGCTCAGGCAATCCATTCGCCTCGGCCTTCCAAGGTGCTGGCATTACAGGCTGAGCCACCAAGCCTGGCCCATGTCATTTTCTATATTTCTCCTTTTTCATGTACTCTACTGTAAAATAAATTTTAATTTTCTGTAGCTCTCAAAATATTTATTCTTTTTGAGCTATTTTTCATAGGTGTTCATATTTTTGCTTACTTCACTAATTGACTGTCTTTTATTGACCCATGTCACTGTTGCTTGTAAGTAAAAGACTGGTTTCTAAAATCAATCACAAAATCCAGAAGGAAAGATTAGTTGATTAAGCTACCAATCACTTTAATCTAAGTAGCATGGATAATAACAATCGTAGCTTATTTTCAGGGCCAGTAAATAGTCCATATACAGATCAATTTTCTCACTTGTTGTAATGATTAAATCAGGCAACTTTCTGGGATGGAGCAAAGGTCTAGGCCAGTTGTGAGTGGGGGAACAGATGTAAACAAACTTAATAGCACAGTTATTTGAAGTTATATAATAGGCCGGATGAGGACCAATCATCCAACTCTACCTCTTTTTTAGGTATTCCAGCAAAACACATCTATTTTACTGATGTTCCTATGGAGGAAATAGCCGTCGTTCCAAAAGCTGTGATGCAATGTGTGATCTTGAGGGATCTTACCTGGAATCCCCAAGTGATAGCCGGTAGTGAAGTTCGCTTTAAACCCTCCTCCTGCCAATGTGTCATCAGTGATGAGGAGCACAGCCATTCTATTAGTGGTAGAGAACACATCGCTTACTGGACCAAGCCCTGTGTACACGGCTGCTCCAAAGAAAAACAAGATAATCAGTGAGATTATCCCTGGAATCTAAAAGAAAATATACCCCTTATCTCAGTTCCCTCTTCCAGATGTAGGGCTACATGACAAATCTCACTTGTGAAGCAGCCACATGTGAATAAATATGTACCTTTTTACCTTTTAAACACTACTACAATGAAAAAACTTTTCAATCTTTTTGACATTATTGAGGTTTTTGCAACTCTATCCTTTACTATTGAATTATTCATAATATTATCTTACTTCACTAGTACTCAAAGTTCACAACCCCAGAAAATAACTGAGATTATAGACTCCCTTAGTACATTTTTGGCCAAATTTATCTAGTATTTTTTTGTGAATTGAAATATAAACCTAATCTAAATGATGTATTAATAAGAGATTGATAAAATAAACCTAAATGGTGGTTTTCAAACTTTTCCCATGAATTCCTCAACTTCTGTGGATTTTATAAATAATAAAACACTCCTTACAATAATTCCTCTAAAAATACATTCATCTTTTAAAATGTTTTATATATCGGAAGTTCTGAAAGCAATTTTGTTTCCAAAAAATTCCTGCCTACCAATTTAAAAACTATAATTCTGATGCTCATCTAGAATTCTGATTTACTTTTCAATAATTTATGTAAATATTAAGAGGTAGAGTAATAGTTTCTTAAATTTTTCTTAGATCATAAGAACTCTGAAGTTTTAATTAGAAGGGCAATTTGACCAGAAAATGAAAAACAAACAACAAAAAAAAGATTCAAAATATGTTTATAATGTGTATACAAAAAAGCACATTTGAAGTCCTTCAGTTCTTGCTAGGCTTCTAGTCCCACAGACTTTTGCTGTTTATTTTTTCAGTGTGTGTGTGACTTTCAAAATATTCTCCCAGGAAGCTTGCGCTCTGGAACTTTGAGAAGTTTTGCTGAATAACTCTACAAAAAGGCTGGTGGATTATATGGGGTACTCTCTTCACTACTCTTCTCCTTCCATGTGCTCAAGAAAGTTCCCTCTGTAGTCTTCATGCATTGATTGCAGTGTTCATGTGATTTTATCTTGATATAGCTATGAGACCAGAGTTTCTAATAGATAAGTAGTTATAAAGTGTGTTGTTTTATTTATTCCACTTGATACTTTAAGCATCTTTATCATTTAATGTGTGACTTAAGAGACACTTTCTTAAAAATTAGTAGTAGTTAAGCATGATATTAGGTATTATGTTTGAGAGTTGTTAAGTGTGTCCCCATATGTTTTATAATCTAGGTAACAAAGTTTCCTCTAGAATCATACATCCCTTATGCTTATTTTAAAAATTAATTATCAGCAGATAATAGAAAAAGAATCAGCTTGGTCAAGTTTCAGATCATACTCAGATACTAGAAGAGCTAGTACTAGAGACACAATCAAAATAATAATAAAATTTAAAATAAAAATTATTTAAAAAATTTTATATAACAAAACCTATTTGGATAGTTTAAAGTGAAATAAAAACTGATTTGATAGCTATCTTTGTACATCTGAAGTACACAGTGCATCGAGAACAGCATAATGAGTGTCCTTAGCTCTTGGTCGCCAAAGTGTAGTGCTTGTTGTATTCAGTTAATGACAACTGGTAGAAACTGGTAACTCCTGCTTTGCCAAGAATGCTCAAGATGAGTATTATTTAGTCACTATTGGAAAGATGCCCCATATTGAAAACTCAGCATAAACTCATGTTACTCTGCTATTGTATCTTCATTTTGCTACTTACAAAAAGGGATGATTACATTGACTAAGAAATGCTCTACCAGTCCAGCATTGTGAGCTCTACAACTTTCACAGTATTTAAGTTGCGGACTTACCTAACAGCAAGGAATTATCTTCTCCGCCATCTCTGATTTCAACTACATCTTTAATACTTTGTAAGTCAAATTCTTGAAAATGAAGTTGTATATTTTTTCCCTTTTGTGCATTTAAATTCCAAACACCTTAAAAGTAATAAATAAAAACACTTAATTTAGAACACATTTTAATTTCCCTTATCAGCTTCATTCTCTTGAAAATTTCAGATTACTTTCAAATATTTATTCCATTTCATGTAAATCAATATTCCAAGCTTTTAGTTATAGTTTTTCTTCTTGGTGAGAAATATATTCATTTACTAAAGAATATTTATAGTAAAATTTCAATTAAATCTGAAATAAGTTAGCATAATTGAGTTTATTTTATATAAAATGGAATACTTTAATCAAAGGTGGCAAGTTGTCTTTTACTCTTACAATATAAAATTTATAAATACTAAAATATATTAATATTCTAGTTGCATTCATTTAAGTTTCCATGATAAATGTAATTTATAGGACAAATAAGTTTTAATATTCATTTTTTGACATTTTGAATTAATTTATATATGTTGTAACTGGTAGTTATTTTCAAACAAACAAAACAAGAAAAAATTGCCAGTATCAATAAATATTCGTTGGTTGTATTGATTTCTCTTTTTTTTCAAGTTTTAAAACAAAGTTTATTAGAGAAAGGAGAGAAAATGGAAAGAGAGACATGCCAGAGCTGGCAGGCAAGAGAAACCACGTTTTTATTGATTTGTTAAATGCTTTAGCCTTCTGATTTTGCTTTAGGTCACTTTCTCATTCTTTATAAGTGTTCTCAGTCACTCTTAAGAAATATAATTTCATTATTATATAATGACTTCTAAGTCTTTATTTTCTGTACTTTTTTTGAGAAGTATACCAATTTATCCAATATTAGCTGTGTATGGGCTGCACATACTTAAAATCAAACATGTCCTAAAGGGAACATAAAATGATCTCTTTTGTTCCTCTCCTTATTCATCCTATCTCAGTGATGGCATCACTACCCATCCACACACAGTTATCTGTGCAGGAAACCTTGGCATCTTCCTTGATCTCCTTTTTTATACCACAACCAATCAATCAACAAGGCCTGTCAATACTACCTCTTATTTCCTTGAATTCCATTTACTTCTCCTCAAAAAGTATATTTGTCACTATCAGAGTTCAACTTACTGTCATTTCTGATCTAATTAGTCATACTGCTGGCTGTTGTCCCTTACCATCTGTCTCTAATCTAAAATGCAAGCTTGATTTTACCCCTATTTTCCTTAACCTGCTTGAGTATTTTCAATGCTTTCAGAATAAATTCTAAACTTTATAATATGGTGCCAAATTATTTCATATTTTTAATTTCGCCCTTTACCATTATTTAATTTTCCTTGGAGATTCAACAAAAAGTCATGGTCTCCTATTTTTGTATGTTAAGGACTCTCCATTTCTCTTCATGGAGTCATGTCTTTACCTTGATTGTATAATAGCAGTATCTTGAAATTTTGTAATTCTTGACAATTTATCTGAATCTTTATCTACATGGGGTTATGTTGTTTCTTCTTGACCTACTTCAGTGCCCTCAAATACATAATAAATATTTGTTGAATAACTTATTAATTTAATAAATTACTTCAAATTGTTGTTTCAAAGTTCCATTGCTTTTTGGATTTCTCATATAATTACTGTGTTCAAATAACATGTTTGAAAGTTCTGTTCAGTGTGAAGTAGAGAAGATAATCGCTGAGTCCACAAACAAGTCAAATTAGATTAATGTTTGGGTTTTTAAATCAGATGTCTCTCTATAATAGTGGCCCTATTGGCCTATGAAAGTGATGCTTGCTTCTTTCCTGACCATCTGAAGGAAGAACGTTGGCATTTTCTATCTGCCACTGGAGCATTTCTTTCACTGGAAGAATTCTCTGTTGAGATTAACCAGGCATGGCCATGGGAAGAATATTTGTTTCCCAGTACAGACTTACTAAAGTGACATCTTTGTAGGGCAGTCTGAGGTATCTGTATCTTTCGCACAATTTTTATGCATCTCTAAATGAGTTTCTCTAGTCAGGAACACTGACCTAGAGATAACCTTTGGACAGATTTAGTAAACTCTTCTTTTTTCTAGACATAGTAGTTATCTTCCTTATAATTTTATTTTTTATACTGATAATCTAATTACATTACAGTAGCTGTCTGCCTTATTGACTATAGTCTATACAGAAAAATATGTGGAAGTCACAGTTGGCTTTTTACTTTTTATACTTTCCATTGGCTTTGTTCTATGGAATTGCAAACTTGTTAAACACACTATGGACATTATATGTAGAAACAAAAATGGTTTAGAAAGCTGTATCTGGTGTAAATCTATTTCTCTCACTGTTGTTATTCAATTCATTCCATTTAGAAAAATTTGGAATTCTAATAATGGCACCTATTTCAAATAATTATTGTGAGAATTGCCTGAAATAATGAATAACAATCATTAAAATAATTCCTGGCACTAACAAATGTTAAAAATGTTTAGTAATTATTGTTAGTTTTGTAATATTAAGCAATTTCATAAGCAGGCATGATAGCTGGACATATGCTTGAAAAACTTGTAATCTGCTTTGCTATGTCAAAAGGAGATCTAATTTTGATGTGTACATTTTTTTCGGATACCTGGAAAAGAAATGACTCACAGAAAGCCTGATTAGGGTAGCTGTTTGGATAGTTCATAGAACTGAATGTTGTATTTGGCTCCCATAGTTCAATAGGCCCTCCGCAGTCCGCTGAAAATGAAAGCAATGAAGAATCATTAGTAACACAATTTTTTGTTCAGAAACATGATACCATATGCCAGCACATTTTCAGTTACATTTTTTAGAATTTAAGTTTCGACAGACATATTTTAGAGTTCATGTAAGAGAAATCTTTGCAGCTTAAGTAAGAAAAAATACAAGTAAATAGATCTCTTTACTGAAGAATGTCTCAAAAGTTCCTTAATATTCTTATGGCCTTTGTGAACCTCCAAGAGAACTTAATGGTGTACAGCATTTCCCAAAATAATTTGTATATGAGGTCTTTTTGACCAAACATCTTCTATAAATAGGTTTCATGAAATAAGGTATTGAATCCCAACTATAAAATAGAATTAATGATTACTTATAATTAAAAAAAAATCCTATATCTGACACTTTCTAAAGAGAAGGGTTAGTCAATTACCAATTCTACATTTCTTGATTTTCGTTTTTGGTGGGAGCATAGATTTAAGGCAAAGTGTCACTAGTCTGCATATTTAGGTATTTGACAGTCAAGAAAGGGAGACAAATTGAAACTTTACTTGCTTAATAATTTCCCTGTATAGATCTGGTAGCCAACATGGTCCTGAGATCAAGTTGGAACTGGTGACTTACTAAGGCAAATTTTTAGAATAACAAAACAGATATTCTAGTTCAGAGTATAGCACTCTAAGTAGTTAGATTAACTATGAAATTTGTAACATATTTTATATTTATCATCTTATTAGAAAAAATTCTAAAGTCATAAAAATTCATTAACTACTATAATTTTCCCAATTCTATCTAATTCTTATCATTATTATATTTAAAAATAAAATGAAAACTATAAAAGTGACCTAATTTGAAAAGTACTGAAAACTGGGATAAATATACTTTTTCCTTTATTAAAGGCAGATGATACAAGAATCATGTAAGCTAGAAATCAGATTATGGGAGAGATAATTAACAGTCTCTACACCTATCATGTCTAGAATTATACTCTCTTCCTTGATTTTGCTTTTATATACTTTCTGCCCTATGTATGTCGATCATTTGAAATTCATGTGCATCTTCCAGATTTGTATGTAACAAACTCCTTAGATTTCAGTTTCATGATGTGTATGATGCGACAGAGGCAATTACTCTTGAATTCTTGCCAACCTGTTCTGATCTATAAAGTGGTTAAGGCATAGTCTTACTCTACATGCCTTTCAGGGTCAAGCTTGTCCAGACTCAAATAATCTTATCCAAATAATCAGCCTCTTAAAAACCTTATTGCTTGCAAAGTGCTTCCACGCACATTGTCTCATACGGGGAAAGAAAATGGTATATAAAAGAAAGATTTGAAGCAACCCCCTCGGCTGCTCTCCCACTGTGGGAGTTTTTCTGTCCTCTCAATAAATCCTTCTTTCTCAACTTAAAAAAAAAAAGAAAAAAAGAAAAATTTGCTGGATTAAAATTGTGACTCTAAGCTATTTGTCTTTTGGAAATTTATTTTTCTTCAAATATAAAATCAATCAATCAATATATAAAGGATTTGCAAGGCTTTTGTAAAAATCAGAGATAACTGTGCATTACTCGGCATACTCAATACTAATTTTTAAAGTATTCTTGTGAGTTAAGCAATTACTACATTATTTCAGTTTTAAATGGATAGTCTGAGGATTAGAGATATTCAGTTGTTTGCTAATGTCCTACACATCTACCTAGTGTCAAAGTCAAGACCTCTATCAGGTTAATCTCAAGCTCATCTCACAGTGTATTACTGTCTCCCACTGGATTGATTAAACGCTGGATCATCTCCACCATCTGGTTTATGCCACAGGCAGGGTTTATTTAGATTGAGTAGCCCTTGACAGGTATATGACAAAGAAAAGGTGGGCAGAAAGGAATGTGGATGAAATCGTTGATAAGTAAAGTCAAGGGTGGGTAGATCTAGAAGAAAGGAAACAAGGTACACAGGGTGCTGAAGTAGGCATTTGACCCAAAGAAATAGTTGTCACTTGGAATTAGGACAGAATCCCCACAGGAAACCAAAGTTCTCCTTGATTAGGTGACTAATTTGCAAAACGTTCTGAAGAAGGAACTGCCACGATCCTATAACCTCTACATACTCGCCACACATTTAATTATAATAATTCTACGCTGCTATGAAGTGCTTTAATCCTCAATGACACCAATGAAGGAGGAAAGTGGAACTATAGGGACAAAAATCACACTGCAGATTGAAGATTGAGAAAACCTAACTCTGCATTTCACAAATTTAGCTGTGGTCAACGATGTTTTTTTGGGGGGGAAAGGAGACCATTTTTTTTAAACCATTATTCTCATTTTCTCCTCAAGGAACATAAATGATTCAAAATCTTATATTTCTAATATAATAAATAGCTGACATTTGGAGAATGCATTGACTCTTCATATAACTGAACACATATGTAAAGATGAACACTATACATGAAAATGAGGAGGTAGAACTTTAATAAGCACATAGTCAAATTCAAATATTGTCAAGTGTAATTGTCACACCTGTTAGGACAGGCAGTTTACTTAGCATTTCTCCACTAAACAGAGGTCTTGGAAAAGTCATTCTTTTTAAATACTAAAGAAATACTTTTTGAAATACATTTGGATTATAATTTCATATCAAATAACTGACCAGTAAGATATCTCTGGTCCTTGCTCTGATAAAATAGTTCAGTTATTTTCTGCAAATAAATGATTGTAGAGAATTGTCAAAAGCACTTTACTCATTCTAAATATGATGATGCAATTTATTTTAATGGCAATGTGGCTATAGTAGAGACGTGGCATGCACTTCTTAACAGAAGAGCCAAAGATTTATGAAATGCAATTCCAGATATCACAGTCATGCTGTGTTATTAGATAAACCATCCCCACCCAGAGAATGAAAGTAAAATTGCCTGTCTGATACAGGGAATTCTATTCATTTATAGTGTTAAACTCTTTCATTTTTCTTTTTCTGGGAGCTATTCTCGCAAACATTTGTATTCTGATTAATTTCCTACTACATCAGTAGGGATTTTCACTATATACACTATGTAAATATCATGTAGTATTTGGCAAAGTGGTTGTCAGGGAGAGATATTATCCTTGAGGCATGTCATTTTTAATGCATGTTTAAACTTCAGACATCCATGAGATATGTGTCACTATGGAGGCATTTACTGTAGAATGGAAATGAGGGGAGCCTAGCTTCCACTTACAGTAAGAGGGTTTGAATTAAAAATATTTATGGCAAAATAAGAAATGAGAATGTGGGAGAAATAGATTTTTGAGATCTTATGTGAGGGAAGGAAATAATGGAGGTGGCTTGAGAAATAATACTTCTTATTGATATTTGAATATATAAAGTACCTACATTTCAACACAACAATTATTTTTCATTATCATAGTAATAGATAACTTTTTTTCCTCCTATAAATAGCATTTTAAAAGTTTAGCTTGTAAGCTGAAACAAAATCTTGCATGAAAATGTTATGCTCTGGTTATTAAAATCTGTATTTCCATTAACAATTTGTGACTGCCCATGACAAATATTTTTATACTTTTACAAAATTTTTGACTATAAAGTTTAAATTTTCATTCTCTATAGTAAAAAAATTAATAGAAACCTAGCCAATGATAGTTCTAAAATGTTGGCTATTCATGTTTTAGAGGTTATTTTTGTGTGTGTGTGAGATGGGATTTTGCTATGTTGCTTAGGCTAGAGTGTATTGGCTAATCATAGGCATGATCATCACTACAATTTTGAGCCCTCAGCCCCAAGTGATCCTCCTGCCTGAGCCTCTCAAGTAGCTGAGACCACAGGTGTGCACCACTGCACTTGGCTCAGGCTAATAGTTTTAAAAATACAATGATTAAAACAACATAGAACAACATAGAACAACCAAACCCAAATAGATACCAGAGTGTATGAAAACAGTTAATAAGATATTGGCTAGAAATTTGAATGCTAGGTCATGCTAATGATAAAGAAAGCAAGCTGCTTTTCTGAATATGGCCATCAATTACAAGAGCGGTAGATAAGTGCTGATTCATTTCTATATGAAGAACTGAAGTTAGATAATCCAGCTCTAAGTATAATGTCATGTCTATAAAACTTTTCAATTTAACTTTGACTTTATATTTGGAAATAGAAAATGCCTTCAATAATGGCTAAAGAGAGCAAAACTATGGAAATAGTGAATAGCTAAAACTAAAGTTAGGCTTTTTATTTTCCTAATTGTTGAAGGCCTGAAATTATTTCTTTTTGTATACACACATTTCCGTTCACTAGATACATTGTCATGAATCATCAAAATTGTTTTGTAAATTGGCATGATACTTGCATAATGGAATGCTGCCTTTCTTAAAGTGTCCGCAGTACAATCCCACATTTAAATTAATTTGTGCCAGTGTCACAGAGCAACAATTAGAGAGCTGATGCAGCAGCAAGTGATTAAAGCCACGAGATGGAAGAATCCCTGTGGTGATGAAAACTGAACTTACATTTCCTCAAACTAGGCACAATGTGAATCCCTAGGAACGAGGGAGGAAACTGCACTTTATTATTCTCTTACTTGTCTGGAATTATTTTCTTATTTAAATGCTCTATACAGAGGCAAATAAAGCCTGTTAACCGATCAGCCATGGCTTTCTCTTATTTCTGCTTAAATAAATCAGTGATCTGGAACCAGAAAATCTCTGCTCAAATAAGAATTTCACTGAACCAATTGCAAATGGCATTAGAATGAAATTGTTCAGAGTGCTTTTGATGGTAATTAACATTTTCTGCTATGCTAAATATTGCCTTGAAGTGAACCATTTGGAAACTGGAACAAAGAGACTCTGGGTAGATACTAAAGTTTATATTTTAAAATCAGATGGACTATTCTACTGTTATGACTTTTCTATTGTTAAGATATACAAGAATACCAGCCTATCTTAACATCAAGGTGTTATCTTTTCCTCTTTCTGACTGGAAGATAAGTATGAGGATAGTAAGAATCATA